ATATATATATTTATGTATATACATATACATATATATGTATAAATAGTGAGGAATACTTCACTGCAACCCCCTTCTGACTTTTAAAACACATATTTTGCAGGTTTCTTTTTTGGCTGTCTGGTGGGATGATTCCGAGTATCCAGCGGTATGATGTGGCGGGTCAGATGAAAACTACACTCATTAAAATGTCGGAACAACTGAGAGCGCTGTCGATTGACAGACAGGAGAAGAGGCTGTTCTGGGTTCAGTTTGGTCTGCAAGGAGAAAGTGCCATTGCCTCTTGTGATTACAACGGGAACGTCCTGCACATCATAGATCACCCACTTCAGTGAGCATGTTGTTGCATTCTAATTACTTTTGCTCTTATTTTTGTTAGTCATTTTAAGCAAACTGGGATAAACACTTGTTTTTGTTTCCTTTGGTCAGGGCTCAGTCACTGGGGATATCAGTTTTTCAGGAGCATTTATACTACAATGATGCTGCGTCTCGGGTTATAAGACAAGTAAACAAGCACACTGGTGGAGAGTCACTGAGTGTTAACATAAAACCAATGGCAAAACCTGCGGTTGATATTAAGGTGGTACATCCCCTCACCCAGCCAATGGCAGACTCCCAATCATCATTTCCAGGTTACAACTGTATTTACTTACTACTCATATTTACAATATTTTAGACCTGACCCATTGACGATGGGAATGTTTTGGTAATATATGACTGTTAACCCTTTCGAACAGGTTGTGACGAACAAAGGGGAAATTGTGTCGATGTGTGTTCCAGTCTAGCCGAGCAGGGGCCTTGCCAGTGCAGTGAAGGCTTTGCGCTCAATAAGCAAGGCACTCATTGTGAAGGTTGGTATCTATGCCATTTAATCGAGAATTCGAGAAAAAGAAAAACGCAAAAGAAGCCATAGAATTTACCAAAGTTAGCATGAGTTTCACAAGTTTGCCATCACAAACAACAGTATACAGTAAAGTATGGCAAGGTATTTAAATAAGAGCATCTACTAAAACCACATAAAAAGGTTCTATCCCTTTATTTTTCTGTGTGCCATAGATGTGAATGAATGTGCCTTCTGGAACCATGGCTGCTCTCTTGGTTGTGAAAACATTCCAGGCTCCTATTTCTGTACCTGCCCTATAGGATATGCCCTCCTACCAGACAGGAAGACATGTCAAGGTATACTGGAAATATATTTGTTATTGTTATTATGTTGAACATATTACTAATTTCTATTCTTTTTTATACTATTCTATTTGATTTTCTTAAAAAAACTCTAGTTTTGATTCCATAATGGTTTCATTACTAGTATGACCAATTCATGGCACAAATAAAATAAACAGTGTGACAGTGTTTTTTAAACTTTTTACACAGAGTAACACCTCAGTAAACATTAGGCTCACCAAGTGCCACCATTATGGCCAATGATAAAATACAGTAGTGTAAGCCAACCCTGTTCAGATATGGACACGTCATGCAGGAGGCGGGTTTAATCCTAATTAGCACCTGTTGTTAAATCCTGAATGGAACCGATTCAAGAACCTGACTAATTTGGTGTAAAGCAGGTACTTCTGGTCCATTCTCTTCCTAATAGTTTCCTTTAGCAGCTATGCTTGCAGTATTTATGAACTATTTATTATAACTCTGCTTACTATCTTGCTATCACATTTTAGCTTGTAACTAATCATGGATGTATGCCTTTGTTTATTAACTTATTTTAGATGACATTTCAGCGATCTCACAGTATTTTCATTCGAAATGTTGTAGTATTTTGACGGTATTATGTCTTTAAATTAATCTATTTAATAAAAACATAGATTTCAGAGGTTCCTCTGTATACTACAAGAAGCAGCCTGCATACCACCAGTGGTACTCATACCAAAGTTTGAGAATTAAGAGAAGAAGTTATATAGCAGTAAAACTAGCTAGCAGTGAAATCACTTAGCAATGACTGTGAATTGTGGATTCAGAAATCCCCTGGTGAGAAACTAAAGACATACTAAAACAGACATTTTCACTTATACCTTTAAAGATTGTAAATGCACTTCTGGATGATGCTGACACTATAAATAACATTGGCTCAACCCCTTGACTAACGAGAACTGGCATTAATGTAGTATTAAATATAATACCATGAAGCAGTTTTTGTCCTTGTTCAGTTAGGTAAGACAGATAAGAAAAATGTAGGTTTCATTCAAAAAGTGGCAACATTGTATTGTTTTGCTCAGCATGATGAATGTAGCTCTGGTTTCAGATTAGATCCTCTTCTCTTTGTGGTGCTATGAAAGGTGGCATTTGTCCCCCAGACACTAGTTTGACCCTACAGAGCCAATAAAAAGGATAGGTCATATGCTAAACATACTAGACTAGACATATGCAACCTGCCAGTTGTGTGTTAGGTTACTTGGGTCAAAACACTGACACTTTGTCACTAAAAGTCAACTAGGGCTGAGATGGGCTGTATAAGATAGAGGGAAGCAGGCATATATCACAAGTTGTTTTTAACTATTTAATTGTAGAGTTAGACCAATACATCTGTTGAAGCCAGTTTTCTGGTAATACTGGTCAAACGCACTATACAAAAACATATGTTGTTTGGAGACATTTGATTGTTATACTAATCCAGGTATTCCGTATAGCTTTGCTACGTCAGTCAGTGTTGCGTCATTCCTCTCTGCCATAATGCAGGTCTGTTGTCTGCCAGCATAACAACAGAATCTTTTTTAGTGACAGATACCTCAGACAATCTAATATTTTGACACAAACATATGCACTGCAGTCATGAGGGAACGTAAAGTAAATCTTTATTTAGTTAAACAAACTGGTAAAATGGTCCTAGTTGGTGATATTGTTTTGTTTATTATTTATACTTTTTTTTTTCTTTTAGGGATTGCTGTCTACTTTGTCCTGATACCTTAGTGTCACAGTGATTAACTTTATAACACTTAAAATACATTATGGACACATCCATCTCTTCTCTTCTAATCTCACAGCTATGAGGCCAAGAGAACAGGGAAGACTCACAGACACAATAAGATTAGATGACGAGGTGACATTTGCAATAGGGAACATATCTGGTCAGCAGCTTTGTCTGTCTAAGCTGTTTAGCAGACAACCTTTGCCAAGGTCCAGAGGAAAACATGCGGCCAAGTAGCAGGCCAGACAATGGAGATGACAACAGAGATTACATGGAGGAGGTTATAGCCGGGCTGCTTGTGTTTTTTACTTTTGATTCAACAGAAACAAATGAACTAATGATTCAATTCATCAATTCAATTATTTTATTTTTTATTTTTAAATCAGAGTAGATTTTTTTTTCTCAAGTTGTCATTGATTCATTTGTTTTTACAGAACTTCTAGCATATTTGCTCATAATGTATTCTTCAATTAATGTTCATAGTGCAGTATTTAATTGGTGATATGGCATATTTTTTCAATTGTACTTTATTCGTTTCTGCAACACTTAATTACTATAATTTCAATACTTACTTACTGATACTTCTACCTGCTACCACTAGGGAGAAGTTAACAGTCAAAGGCACAGCAACAGACACTGTAACTATTTCACATTAGATTCGTAACTGTATGGCTTGCCTCTGTGTACCTGGCCCATATTAACATGTACAGGAGATACCACACTCCTGTGAGCCAACATTACATCACCCTCACCACTGTGTGGCCTTTGACTACATTCTTATCATACTTTCACCTATTTTAATAGGTATAGGGTTGACTTCATACAAGGGTTTTTACGAGAGAATGGCCTAAGAAGATTATTGTTCATCCGGCTCGCTCGGAATCTACTACCTGCTGAGCTCCAAAATAACCTGGAAAACCCCCTGTACATGTAACATCACCGTTGAGCTTGATCTTGGACCTCAATAGACAGTTGTACAATATGGCATTATTTAACTCCCTTTTCTAGAAAAACTAGTTTTTTGTGTTTAACTCATTAAGCTTCAATTGATCAGATTTGTACCATTATTGTTACAATGGAAAATAACAGTGTTTGAAGATAAACATTTTCTTTCCACAATCAGAGATCACACCATGTGACGGCAATATCAAGTGTGGCCATGGATGCCTGACAACAGATGAGGGTGCTGTCTGTGTGTGTCCTGAGGGATCTTTACTAAAAGAGGATGGACAAGCCTGCACTGGTATATATGGATTATTTCTGTTTCTCCCATAATAGTCAAATAGAGCAAAGTGTATTTGTTTATTTCTTTAAAATAAAGGAATACATTTGTTATAAATAAAACACACTACAATATGAGATTCACGGGTATGTTTTCATTAGTGTAAAATCACTTGAAAATAAAGTTTTCATTACCTTAGAATGAGCTGCTTTTATCGACAAACGCCACAGGCCACCATGTTGAACCCACATGTTTCTACAGTAGCCCAGAAAATACAAACCAAATACTGGCTCTACATAGGGTCACTTGCGTTTTTTGAGTGTTTCGCAGGCAACCGTTAACACACTGGTCCTTTACCTAAATGTCTTGTAAGTTAGATTTTAATCAAAGTGGTCAAACTGAGGTGACAAGAATCAAAAGCCTTACAGCCCAGCAGTGCAGGGTGGCTTTGCATTACTGCTCATCAGATAACGATCAAACAAGTGATGGAATCAATCTAGAGGAAGACATAGAGAGGTTTTATTATAAGTTTCAATTTCCCCATCAATTAAGTTCATATCAATATACTGTATGGCGCGTTGTCCTGTTAGAAAGCTTATCTGTGTGTATGTTTACCACATTTGTTTTGCTGTTGCAGGCTGCTCATCTGCAGACAGAGGGGGCTGCAGTCAGCTCTGTACTCCTGTCACCCCTAGTAAGTGGCAGTGTGGTTGTCTGCCTGGCTACCAGCTCCACCATGATGGCAAGCGCTGCATTGCTTCTGGTGAGTCATACTATGGCAAAGCAGTCAGCTGCTTGGGTGGATAAGCCGACACAGATAAACAGTCTCTCACTATCATTCACTATCTAGCTAATCTTGTTGTTACTCTTTCACAAACACATTCTGTAAATTAAATGGAGGTGAAAATTACAAGGTAAAATGCTAATTACTACATAAGTGGTTTTACATCAACTACAGTACATCTGATCATATAATAACATTTTAATATTCATTTTGATATTTTCTTCAGGACCACCACCTTATCTATTAGTTGCCAATCTAGTGGATGTGCGACAAATTAATCCTGATGGCACTGGGGATCAAACCCTCGTGGAGGAGCCCAGAGGAACAATCATAGGTTTAGACTACGACCCTGTCCAGAACAATGTAAGATGAAAAAAAAAAAGCCCTCTAATCTTCCATTGCCATTTTGTTTCAGATTTTTCAATAGAGGCCGTAGTAGTAGACTATGTACTATACTAACCTCATGAGTCTTCCAGTTTCAGTGTTGGCAAAGACATCTAGTGACACCTAGTGGACTGACACTGTAATTTGATGGCCTTTAGGGTTTAACGATCTTCAATTAAAAAAATGTTTTCTACTTTGATAGTTGCAATAAAGATGTATATTTATATAATAAATGCATTTGCTTATATATGTTTTTTATGCATTTTGAAGGTTTACTTTGCTAGTACAAGCCAGAAGACAATAGAGCGGGTTGATTTAAACGGTGGGTCCAGAGAAGTTCTTGTCTCTGATGGATTGGAGTCTCCAGAAGGACTATCAATTGACTGGGTGTACCGCAGGATGTACTGGACTGATAAAAGGTGTGTGGTGTTTGCAGAGACTAAATGTTGTGGATAGTTCATGATGATTGTTTGGTTATGTGCTGGAGCTGCATTTAACTGATGTCGCTTTTTGGAGTTGTTTTTTATAAAAATGTTAGCAACTCTCTGGGTTTCTAAATATTATCAAATTGAATGTGTTTTTGGTTTTCAGTTTAATAATTGTTTACTTTTGTCCTCCAGCCAGTCAACTGTTGAGTGCAGTACCTTGACTGGACTGAACAGGGAAACCATTGTAAGCACAGGGCTGGAAAAACCAAGAGGAATCGCTGTTCATCCTTTGGCAAAGTGAGTGTGGCTGTATGTGCATGATAGTTTAGTTTTGTTAGTCTGAGATCAGCAGTGCATACAGAATGGGCTTGGCTGACCTTTGTGGGTGCAGATAACTGATGACCACTGCTAGAAGTGATAGAAAATGGACGAAAGACTATTTACTTGTGTTTCAAAAAAATCCAGAACTGTACGATAACAAGTTGGCCTTGTATTGTTTGAGTCTCTGAACCGTAGAGATCTACTGCTAGCAACATTAGCATTGTAGCTAAGTGGGAGCCGGTTATTACAGTGCCACAGGGAGTTCTGGATGGACACACTACAGGTTCTCTGGGATTAATAAAACCCCTATGCCTAATTTACAATGCTCTTTTTTTTTTACTTTTTGAGGAAGTTGTTCTGGACTGATATAGGCGCCCAGCCTGTCGTGGAAAGTGCCTCTTTGGAAGGGAAAGACCGTGTAGTCATTGCTAGCACCAACCTTGTGACACCAAGTGGTCTGACCATCGATTTCACCGCTGATCGCCTGTTCTGGTGCGATCAGAGCAGCGGCCTGGTGGAGACTTCTGCACTGGATGGTTCAGATCGACAGGTCCTGTTAGAGAACCAAGTAGGTGAGGCTTCTGTGACACATACACAAATTCACTGTATAGAGAAAATGTTGGATTTCAATATTGCAGCATAGAACATAACAACTGAATCTAAGATGTCCTAAAGCAGCCATCGAAGGGGAAGAGATTAAAATTTTGTATATGCTCTAATTCATTCTCTCATTCAGTGATGTTCCCAGGTAACTGCCTATTGCCTTGAAACGTCACTCAAATATGTTCCTGCTTTAACCTGTCCTTGCCTTCACAGTAGTGTCTAAGATAATATGAACACAAGATGCACAAAAGTACTCACCCTGAAGCACTTAATGAACAGCACTCTTCTTTCGCTCAATTCTGATTCACCCAGGCCGACCTTTCGACCTCGCAGTATTTGAGGACAGGTTGTGGATATCTGATTGGGAGCACCAGCAGCTGAGGAGCGTACACAAGTGGACTGGGAAAAAGCTGCAACGTATCCATGGCCACATGGTCCAACCAGCATCCATAGTGGTGGTGCATCCCCTTGCTAAACCAGGTACAGAGACAACAGGGATGCTCAGAAATCATACACTGAGGGTTATAAATACCACATGTAGCAACTCTAGCACAAGCAAGATAAAAGGAAGGATTACAAAATGCTCTCAAGTTGAAAGTACATTATGACAAGTGACTGTTGTCTTTCTACCACATATATATTAGTAAATACTGTGCAGGCTAGCAACAACAAAATAAGTTCCACTCATCCTAAAAATTCATGATTGAGCTTTTAATTGTCACTGTGCATCCTCAGGAGCGGACGTTTGCCTTCACCTGAATGGAGGTTGTGCCCAGGTGTGCGAAAGCATACTGGGATTCGCCCACTGCTCCTGTCTGCCACGCTACGTCTTAACAACTGATAGAAAAAGCTGCTTGCTTGCAGATGCTTCGAATGGAACAGCAGGTGACTCACTTTAAGCCATTTTACTTAAGGCGCTTCTGTATAGGCTATTGAGTAAAACTGTCCAATAATGGATGTTCAGGTTAACTATATGAACTCACTGTGTAGAATCTGGAGACCGTGAATCCACTGAAGTAACGTCTCTCAAAAACAAAACATTCAATGATGAGGGCACTCCCCTGACAACACCTGACCTGTCCAGTGATAAAGCGGAGGCTGATTTAGACTCTGATGTAGGCACGGAGACAACGCTCTTCACAGACAAGATGGTTTCAGGTAAACAGTATACCTTTAAATGACTGGTAGTTCTTCCAATTTAAGATCTTACTCTAACTAAATGTTATGATTCCATATGTCCCCTTCTCCGTCAGACCAGAATGAGTGTTACTCACTTCGCTGTGATGTAAATGCACAGTGCCTGGTGAATGCTGGCAGCCCAACCTGTCTATGTCTAGAAGGTTTTACAGGTGATGGACAGTTGTGTGTGGGTGAGTATTTCTGTTTCTGTTCCTGTCTAGGGATGACGAAACATCCTGAAAAAAGCTCATGGGATTACATTTGATACGGACAGCTTTATCTCATTTACTGTAGCGGGGGTTTAAATTGTACATTTTGCATTATGCTGTGGCATAGGTGACAGCAATGGGAATGAATGAAAGAATCATTTTAGATATAAAAAACATTTAACAGAGGCAGAGCTGCTCTGGAGTAATAGATAACCAAAATATTAAAGATAAACCTTAATGACAGGAGCTACGGCCAAAATGCCTAAAACGTCTCAAAATTAAGTCTTCCAAAAATTCTGATTATTTCTTTTGCAGAGCTATTTTAGTGTCTGCTAGGTTTGTCTGTATGTAGTAATCAGAAGTCATGTGTCAACTAATCTGAAGGATAAAACAACACAGTTAACATTGACAAGTGCAGGCCCAGTTATAAAGGAACTTAAAGAAAAATCTAAATTGTAAATCTATTATACTGAGTACAGTGACATTTTGTGTATTTTCTCCTTTTGTTTAGATATTGATGAGTGTAAACAAGGAACACACAAGTGTGACAACAATGCAGAATGCCAAAATACTTTGGGGAAGCATCTCTGCAAGTGCCAGGCTGGATACCACGGCAATGGGAAGACATGCCAAGGTGCATCTCAGTTATTTACTGCACATACAATTTTTCAGCACTAGTTATTACAATTAGAATATTAGTAAAAATGTCAATGAAACCACGCACAACCACACAAGTGTTTTTGCTTTACCATGTACCATTTAAGAGGTGAGAGATTAGGCAGAAAATAAGTAAAGTGGAGGCTTACATCCAACACTAGTACATCCAAAGTATCTCATTACTGCTATGTAATATAACCCCTATGTACTTCTATTATATGAGTCCTCTGGAAGGAGGAGCAGTATTGTAAAGAGCAGACTATGGATAAAGGTATTAAAAGTAACAGTACCATACTGTATATTTGTCTAATTAATGAAATCCCATCCCTAATCATCTCAAGAGTTGGAGACCACATCGCCATGGGTAACAACTGGTAGTCCTGCTGATGTCACCACCCGACACCACAACAGTAACTCAGTACAGACTTGCCCCTCCACCCATGAATCCTACTGTCTGTACCAGGGTGTCTGCTTCTACTTTCCTGAAATGGAGTCCTATGCTTGCAAGTAAACAAACCCTCTTTTGTAACCCCTCAGGAGGACCCCTGACCTCCACGTTTAACAGTTTACTGATATCTTGTGATGCTCACTTTCTCAAAATGATCATCTCGTTTTGTTGTAGATGAGTTCCATTATAAGCTTCTCTTTGTTATTTTAAGATAGAAGTTGCACTGCAAAATATGCAGTAACTCAAACTATCATCAGGAGAATATTTAAATGATCTCTGGGAAGTATTTTCCTTTTCACGCAGCACTTTACAAACATTTGGAATAAAATTCCATCTTAAAAGGCCATCATTAGAACATATTAGATAGTATGAGAACACTTCACACCACATTGCTGTATGGTGTTGCATTTTGATCAGCTTATGTCTCATGTTACTACAGCTGAGAAGCAGTAGATGTCACTATTGTTCCATGATTAAAGCCACTACCTCTTGGCTCCACTCACAGAGAAGGCTATAGGACAGAGGATTAAGAATTTGACCTTTTCATACATACATATGCGACATAAACTATTCTACAAACAAAATATATATATATATTAAGGGCGTCAATGATATGCTTACATCAAGCTCTAATGGGGGCTGAACAAAAGACATTTACATTTGTTCTATAGTTTGACGACATTGTTTCAGCATTCAACTCTACTACTAACTATTTAGTTTATCAACAAATTATTATTTAAAAAAAAATGTATTTAAAAAAATTATTTAAAATTAACTGTATTTTGCTGTTAATTTTGTGATTACTGAAATCTTGAAAATTATTATTTTTTTAAAATAATTTAGCATTGTTGAAATCTTGTAAGTACGTTCTTACTTGCTCAATAATATATTCTGATGATGTTTGCCTTTTTCTATTTATGCCTGTAAATAAAAAAATAAATGGCTGGTATTTACTTTTAAGAAATAATAAGTCTGACTTTAGACTGTGACTTTGTTGAACCTGTTGCAGTTGTGTATCAGGCTACATGGGGGAGCGCTGTCAGTTCAGCGACCTGGAGTGGTGGGATCTTCAGCAGGCTGAGGAGGAGAAGAGAAGAAACGTGGTAATTGCGGCCTGCATGGTGGTCCTCGTTTCCCTGCTCTCCATCGCTGCCTGTGTCACCTACTGCTACGGGTGAGAAACAAGATGTGGTGAATGCATACAAATCTACAATGTAAAATGTAAGAAAGGGTAATTGAAGAGAGGGAGTACGAAAAAAGGAAAGGGAAATTTTCCATTTGGAAATGAGGAAGGGAGGAGCAACAGGGGAAATATTTGTCAAGAGTTGAAAGGAAAAAGAAAGTAGAGACTGGAGAAAAGGAACAAATGGCAAGGCATAATGAAGGGAATGAGGGAGGAAACAATGAGAAAGAAAGGCAAAAAAGTAAGCAAAAAGGTGAAAACAAAATATATATATAAGATTGGAAGGAAAAGGAAAAGTTTAGAAAGGACAATGTATGGAAGAAAGGAGGGGAAGATAAAAAATGAGCTGCAGAGGAAATGTGTGGAGAAAGACGGGAAATCTAATCAAACAAGAAGATGATGTTGGATTTACAGTGAAAGATACAAGGAATGTACAGTCATGTAAAAAAGGTACACCTGGGAAATCTCCTCTGCTGAAATATTCCAAGGAAAATTTTAACCATTTGCTCAAAACTACATTCCATAATGTAGCACATTTTCCAATTGGTTTTCCCTGAAACTATTATAAAGCAAAACTAATGAGCCAAAAAGAATTCTAGTCATACCTTTTCTGTCTGTTTAAAATGAAAACGTTTACAACATTCAAAAGGATGGTGATAACACTGAAAAAAAATAAAATAAAGAAAAATACTAAAAAAAGTTAGTAGGGGTGCAATTTGCAACCCACCTACCAACCTAGGTCTTTCTGGGTCGGTTTTTTCAAACACTTTTGGCTGAGAAAAATAATAAGAACAACAACGAGAACACAAACAAGAAGGTTCCAGCAGCTGGAACCTGGGGAGACTTTTTCTACGTTCATCTGCACATACGTCGATGTGCGTGCTGGTGTATGCACTGCAATAATGATGTATAATCAGCAGTGTTGTGTTTAACCTCCTGGACACTGGAAGCACAGCGCAGCACAGATAGCCAGGGAGGAGCCGTTCCAGCAATGAATGAGCTGACAGCGTTTAGAGGTGTCTATCAAACCCAGGGTGGCATGAGCCGTGTAATGTCGGTGTCTCAGCGTGACAGCGGAGGGTCGGGGAGCAGATCACATGTGGAACGAATGGAGCATGCAACCGTGGTTAGCTGAGAGAGGAGCATACATAAAGTATGCGCTGAAATCCCTCCTCCCTTTTATTTCCACCTGAGCTGTCTCTAAGTAGCTGATTTGTTTTACGGTTGTTTCGCTGGCTTATGGACAAGGCTGTTGGCATTCTCCACTCTTTTGACTCACAAAGCACACACCCCCCCCACACCTACTACACCCTAACGTTTGGAGTCCTGCTTCCCCTGTGGAAGTGGCACGCTTTCAATTACATGCTTGGTTTAGCTTGTTCTACAGCAATTACACATAAAAATAGGTCATTTCTCAGCTACAAAATGGAGCCGCTGAGGTATGACCCCAGTGGAAACGCTACATGGCCGCCAATAGCTCTGTCTCAAATTGCCTTCTGCACTTGACTGCAAGTGCACTTACGCAGTTTTTGAGTTTGGTGGTTTAGTTTCCTCTGCAACGCACACAGAAGTAGTGATATGGGCTAAACAAAACTCAACCTCCGTCTCATGCTGTCTTTTTAGGCTCAAACATGCAAACAAATACGCTAAAAAGACACACACACAGCCCTTTGGGTAGTTTATCACCAAACCTAAATGTATCTCTTCTGGTCAGCAAGTAGGCTGTAAAGACATAAGGCACACAGAAAGCAACTGTCACATCTGTTGCGCAGTTTTACCGTATATACTGTATGCGTGTGCACGTAAATGTGCCGGGAATTACTGGGAACGTTGAGAGCACAGTCCAATTTTATATTTCCTACTATGCTGAATTTGAATGCATCATTTTCCTGCAAGGGCACCACCTCTGTGACTTGATAACCATGTAAATGCCACATGAGTCTGCTAATAATTGCATGTAAACTGAAATTAAAGTAAAATGAATGTTGCCTCGAGGACCCTTGAGATGAATACATTAACTGGAATACTGCATGTGTGCTTTTACTGTCTTCCACGCAGAACCAGGAAATTCTTCCACAAACAACCCTCAGTGGATGATGTGAGTGAGACCAGCGTGACAGATGAGAGCGTGTCAGAGACCACGACCACCAGTGTGCCTCGGGTAAGACCACCATCACCAAGCTCTCACAAATGCATCTTTAAGTACAAAAAGTCACCAGTTAACCACGTATGACTGTACTCCAACTTGGTTCTTTGAAGACAGCAACATAACCAATGGAGCTAAAGTTCTAGAAATGTGTATAGAAGCTCATAAACCTTAATGAATTACTGTATGAATGTACAGTTCTACATGGTGGTAGAGAATGGTGTGGAGGGAATGGTCATCCCTGCCATGGGCTGTCCCAGGAGAGCTGTCTGTCCATCCTGCTCTTCAGAAACAGGTAAACCCATATTCAGCTTTTCACACTGTGTAATTATTCATCTTTCTGTATCTTCATATTTTCATCCTGATTACATTTCTAAAGAGTTCTTTTTTTGCCAGGTGACAACCCAGTGTCTGAGGAGGCGGGAACATTGTCCAAACACAACAGAGGGTACGAGTGCTCCATGGTGTCGGCTGTTGCCATGGAGACCACGCAACCCGCTGTCCCTCACTCGAGTCCATCGGTGTCAAGCTCATTTCCTTCTGCGTCTTTGGAGCCACCACTGCTCTCCCAGACTCCCGGCCCAGAGTCCTCTGCTTCCTAGTTAACCAGAGAGACTGACACAGATGTACAGTTAAACGCACATACACCGCACAACATCTGGCTGACGCACAAACTGCAAATTGAGAGTTTCACTCCGCATTAAAATGCCTCATAAATGAAGAAAATGTCACATAAGCTGTTGCCTACCTAAAAGTTCTTTGTGGCTACTCTAAGCTGTAGGTTTCTATTATACACAAAATGTAAAGTCAGGCTGGTTCATGGAAGCCATTGAAAAACACAGGTAACTGGTAGCACCACCCAGAATAAATCATTCAGTGGTACACAGAAAATAATTTACATTATAAGATGTAGTGACAGCGATTGGTTTGACACAGAAAAAACACTAGTTAGTTAGCATTAACACTGACAGAGCTGTGACATGTACACAAAGTCAAACTGAACTAAAAGTAATGCAAGGAAAAAAGAAACTATAGTTAACACTCAGAATGTATCGAATGTTATAAAAACTAATATAGACAAAAATATATAAATAAATGACATATACAAACTGAGTAACAAGTGAACGATAAAATCTGATTACAATTTTGAAAAGAATGATGTTTTCACTGCTTGCTTTTGAAAAGAAATTGAAGAATCACTTCTGCTTACAAGTTGTCATGGGCCATTTTTAGAAAGGTTTTCAGTTTGATTTCTGTTTGTCCGGCATGAAGCATATGTATAAGGACCTTGATTCACTTTTTATTTTATACCCCAGTCAATTTTATTTGTATAGCTCAAGATTACAACTTTGCTCAATGACTTTTACATGTTTCATGACTAGTCCCCACAAAGAACCCCCCAGGTCAGTCTACCAATGAATAATGGACATTTATACTAAAGGATTTCACTCCTCACAGCAAAAGGTGTAAATGCTTCATTAAAGTAAACAATGTTTCTTGTGTGTTTGCGTCTGCTAAATAAACTTTATGCTACCATTACATGTTTTATAATTAGCATATATCTAAACACGTTTCTCCGATTGCTTGCATTAAGCTGCTGCAGGAGAGCAAAGGATGAAGAGTGATTGCTTGCTTGTGTTTTAAAGGGATGTGTTTTTGTTTTGTTGTTCAGATATCACGCTCATGTTTTCCCCATTTGTTCCATATTTCATGGAATAGTTTTGAGAGGTTTTCCATTCTTATGTTTGTACAACTCCGATTATTTAACAGCTGCAAGGTGTTAGCCCGCGCCAATTTGTTGATGGTGTTGCTGTTCACATTAGCACTCGCAGTTTGAACAGGGTCACTCGCACGGTTCCTTAAGTTTCCTGCGTGAGCGCAAATCGATCGCTACAGTGACTCAAAGAGTCGACCGGATGGAATGATTGATACAACTGTTCCCACTGAGGCTGCATTACTAAAAACTCAGACCTGTATCTAATGTGGATCACATGTGACCAAATCAGAATTACAGAAGGTCGTATTCAGTGTGATTTGAGATGTTCCTGCTGTCAACAGCAAAAAAGAAAGAAATAATCTGACTTGGGTCACTTTTATGTTACGTATCTTACATTCAGCTCCAGTTAATTAAATGTGATGTAACCCATGTAAACACTGAATATGCACCACATGTGCCTGGTAACATTTAGTCAAAGCTAGCTAGTACGTCAGCACATTCACTCACACCAGCTAACTCAACTAACCTGGCAACTGTGATACTGTTAGCAAATGGTATATTTATTTTTATACAAAAATCTAGGTATGTTTCCTCCTGCCAAAGGACTATACTTTTAGAAATAAGCTGAGGGTAGCTGAACTGAATTGTTTGTTTTGGAAAGGGAATGTATCTTGCTATTGATGTCTACCTAATTTCTTTGCAGTATGAGTTTTTATATCTTAACTAGCAAAACACTGGTAATATTTATTTGGAGAGCACGAGCAACATTTAGCATTTGTATTCACACCGTGTTCAGCTCTGATTGTGTATTATTTTCAGCCCATATGTACTATTACTGAAATTAGAAAACTGCAAGATGACGCTTGTTTTCATTTCAATTAATAAAATTATATTCACAAAAAATGTGCTGTGTACATAACTGCAACATATTTAGCACTGAACTGCGTTTACTGGACACAGGAAACAAACAGCAGTTTTTTCTTAACCCAGCCACTTTTGTTGGCAAAATACACTTTTCTAATGACATTATTTTCTTAGAATTGGAAGATTATTTTGGCCATACATAGCCCATCTGTCTCGTTACACCCCATCACACTCTTCTTCCAAGCTCTTGCCCTTGCTCCATTGATGATGCTTTTCTATCCTCCACCAAATCTAACGCTCTAGTGATGTTGGTACCAATGCTGCCACCCTCCACCACCACCACCACTCTCCTGTCCGTCTATTTCTATTTCTATCTGTCTCTGTCCGCGACTCTGTCTCAAGGTTGACTGGGAATTGTTAATAGACGGGCCCACGGCCTCTTTGTTTCGAGGCACTGGCAGAAAACAAAGCACTTTAACTCAAAAACCATCAGGGGCCACATCGATATTGATTTTCCTGCCAAGACACACTTATCTATATATTGGCCTCCATTAGGGCTAACAGATAGGTTAGGGCACCACTCGAAACAGCAGCAGATAAGCCTTCAAGTAAAGATGAAATTGGGCCCAGTGTCAATTTATCGTGTATTATTCCTCAATTGGGGCAATAGGGGGCAATAGAGTCACTGACACTGTAAGTAACAGGGGCCTCAAGAGGCCTCCATTCTGTGTCATTTTTGGAGGAGGCATTGTTTTAAATGTTAATATGAATATACACATGCCAGTTTATTACATACACCTAGACCTAGCTAAAACTAACAGTCATGGATTATCATTATTATTATTGCACAGGAAGTTATTTAGCTGACCCACACGGATACAGATGGGGTGGACAACATAAAAAAACAAAAAACAAAAACTGGACATTATAAGCTGTTGTATGAGCCTGCATTAGGAGTAACTAAGAAAGTGGCAACTGACTGACTGCTGATGTTAGCGTGTCTTTCTCTTGGACTGAACTGTAGTATTACTGTTACCTTACACATACATTAATGTTGTAAGAACACCAGAACCAAAATCGGCTTTTTTTTCCCCCTTTTATTGTGAGCTACGTTCTTGCTAGTCCCAATGTCCCAAGCAATCCCAAGGATCACCAGTCTGGACATGTTTTAATGGATCGGAACTGACTAAAATAAAATCGAATCCTGTCCAGACTGTGTTTTGTCATATCATTTCCGCTGCCACTAATAACCTGTGGCCTTCAGTATGGATCGAGAAGCTCCTGAAAAATAATGAGCCAGATACATATTTAATCCACGTTTGAGTCTGTACCATCAGGACATCCTTACTTGCAAAGCAAATCAACTGATGTTACTGTACTAGCAGACACTACGCTTGCTGATACAATAATGGATTTGCTAGCCAACGCCAGAAACATTTTCAGTGTACCAGATGAAGTATCTGGATTAATCAGCGACTAAACCAAAGGCAGCAGACAAACTAGCCACATTTAATTTGGTTGAAATGGCCATATTTAAAGTTAGGAAACAATCCATCACAAGCTGTAGACACAGCCACCAGGATATCATCTGAAAGATGTACAGTGTCATTACAAAGCACAATTCCAAAATGCAAAGCTCTCAAAAAGAGAAAGAGAGAGAGAGAGAGAGAGAGAGAGAGAGAGAGAGTCCAACTTTAGTGTTGTTCCTCTCAAGTCATTTGCTGTGTATGTACAAGCTTTACGTTTCAGTTTTAGCTTCAGATGTTGAGTTGTTTAAAAGTCTAATAAAAAAGTGGAGGGGTGAGGGGCTGAATGTGTCAGCGGATTATCACAGACACAGTAAGAAAAGGCAAAAACATGCACTGAAAGTTCATTCATTAAAGGGTAGTTCATCCATTGAATCCATTGAAAAGATATGTTAATACGATAAAGGTATGGAGAAGATTGGACGTGTGGAAGTTCTTTGAACAATACAAAGAACATACACACACACATACATACATACATACATACATACATACATACATACATATAGTGAATTCATTCCGTTTCTATTAGCTCATTTTGTGTTTTCTGCCAGATGGGGCTAGCTTTGCTTTATCGCTCACGTCTCCATCCCAGCCCGGAGGACAGCTGACGGGGGCTAAAGAGGGAATTATCTACCCACTCAAAAGCTTTGCTCTGATCCTTCAGGTCAGTTTTCGGTCCCTCCAGCTCTTGAGCAGTAACACTAGTTTGCAAGGATTTGGGCAGATTAAAAATGAAAAGGGGAGGGGGTCTAATGCATGTATTGGACATTGATACATGAGTCAGAATCTATGGGTGCACCACAGAAGAGGGGAAGCCCCAAACCTGGGAGTTCCCTTGGTAGTTCTGTCTCCTGAGGGGCAGTTGGAACATTTTGAGTACACTGATTCAAAGCCTGAAATATGCTTATTCCTTCAGTGGCAGCCTTAAATTCCTTGAACGTAATGTGCATCAATGAATGTTGCCCTTACTGCAACATAAAAACTGAAATATTTCAAAAATGTCTGGAGCTGTTTCAGAATACCCAGTCGAACAGATGTATTAGTGCGTTTCCCACCCTGGTCATAACTGTTAACCCATATATCATATATTAGTTCAGAAAATATATCTGTTATATGATGTCATATTTAATACTCTTATTTATTATGTTGAAAGTTGACCCTTCCCACACAAGCCAACAAGTACTCACTGTGTGAACCCTTTAGAACCATCTTAGGACAGTAAACTGATAATAGATAATAGATGGATTATTAATACATAAATAAATGCTAATGACTAAAGAGAAGCCAGAGAATAAAGGTCCATTTGTTATGTCCAATGGTCCTGGAGAGAATACCATCATACTGTAAGAGCAGCAGACCTCATTAACAGAAATGGCTGACAATTAAGGTTGCTCACGCGGTTTACGTGCTCACTCTTACAGACGTTCCTACAAAACACAAAGAGAAACCAAATGTGAGAGTTATGCAGGCACATCGTCAGAATGATTGCATCCGGATTACATCAGGAATTCTCACATTAAAGGAGAACTGGGAAAACACATTCGTCATGCCCATTTTGTTTTGTGTTGTACTGCTCACAAAGAAAAATCGAATTTCTATGTCTGAGGTAGGACTGTGTTTGTTCCAGCAGATGGCGACAGTGTTTAAGGAAAAACACTTCACAGGATCGAGCTTGGGAAACTGTGATAGTTGTTTTATTAGTATTAGTAGCAGTAATATATCAAAAAGAACTGCTTGGCCAGTAACTCACAGGTCAGAAATGTGTATTATTATAAAATGCTCATGTTAAAGACAGATGTCTGCTGTGACCTTTGAAGTGAACAGGTCAATCCTGACAGGAGCTACGTTGTTGCACGTAGACTAAAACAACAGTGATGGTTGCGTAAGATCAATCACTTCACACTTGGATTTACTTAGTAAAGATGGGGAATGCACAGTACGGTAATGCACTTATTGGCAGTGCTGCACGTCAGCACAAAAAACTACAGCTGTCTTTATTGGATGGGATTACCTGGGCTTTAACCTTTTTGTGGCAAAGATATATCTGCCAACAAAAGAGTGAAAAAAAAGAAATAAATCAAAAAAGTTTGTAAAGTCAGCCCAAGAGTCTTAATCTCCTCTTTCTTGCACTTTTAAATACAGTGTTCCTCAGCCAAATTGATGCAAAAACTAAACAAAGTGATACAATACTGTATGTATTTGCAGCCCCGTGTGCAGACGTAACTGCATGATGGGAATTTTTGACATAATTACATTTAAAAAAGTCAATTCTACCGTTTACTACATGAAACAACACATTCTCAAGAACAATCCCGTTGTACTGAAGACTAAACATGGTAATGCAGACTGATCGTGCCAAAAGAAAACACAAATACTATCGTCCGAAGTAAGTCGCTCTTTTTCATACTAATGTGAATTTTTCGACAACCTCACACGAGTCAAACTCACTACACGAGAACAGCTGTCTTCTAGTCACCAGTAATCACGTTCACCAGTGACCCACTGTGCACACTAAAAGTATGTGCAGTTTAAACCCGACGACATGAACACAGTCCAACTGGTGCCCCTCCTGTAACAACTGAACAGCGCATTCACTGCAACGAATGAGACAGAGCACCACAGGGCCCCCAGGGTCTGCTAACGAAAGGCTAATGAACGCCATGTTTAACGAAACAAACAGAACAACCGTTTTCTACTATGTCCGTGCCAATACATCGCCTTGCCTTTTTGAAGTTCTGCAAACAATTACCTCCCCTCCCAACATAACTACAAGCATAGACTGACCCCAGAAACAGTTTCGATTTCTGTCAAACTCTGCCACAACTTAAAATCCCATCTCTTTAGTCGGAGACAGAACTTAAAACCTCATAGCTCATTATAACAACAGAACCAGTACTTTCTCGCCACATTAAGGGATTCACTGGGAACTCAAAAGATCCATGGTGTTTGATTTAAGGCGGAGCGCCCTTCATCGTCGGCTGTTCTGCTTCTTATATTTTTTGCCAAGTAGTGTGTGACACCACAGCAGCATTTTTGGATTACACTCAGTAACTATATAGATTTCATCAAAATTACATTCATCCTTACAGGAGATATGTCTGTCTAATAAAAACCCATCTGTGAGGCAAGCCACAGCGGTGTTCTGTTGTCTTGGTGGCCGGCCGCCCTGCTAAGACTTGTTATCACCATGAACAAATTATTGAAATAGGCCAGCTACTAAACTCATGGAGCATCCTCAAAGTATGTAGAGCAATAGGACAGTAGGCGATCACGTCTACTAGAGGTTCCCTGGAGTGCTTGTGTCTCTCGTCTCTCTGTGGAGTTAGTTTGTGAGCCTGCCCATCGGAACCGCTACGGACCCAGGCTGCTGTCCATCATCCGTAACTGTTACACTACACATTCACAGACTTCAGTTCTGCTAGATACCTTTCTGCAAACTGAAAAAAATGATGTCTGCATTCATTTTAAGTTAGCCACTTCCAGGGGTTAGTGAACCTTGTCTCATTGACCTAACACTGTCATTACACACACCTGTGCTTTAAAAATGGTCTGTTGATGCTGCCTGTTTAAAACTACAGTATATACTTCATACTGTAAGACAATATTGTTGCCGTGCAATTTCTCACATCATTTTGTGTGAATTATAACACTATAACGATAACAAGTGAGGGCAACGTTTGCAAATAACCCTACATAAAGTTTGAGTTAATGCACTGAAGGCTGGAGTCCTGACAGTAATGCAAATGACCTAAACTTTACCACAGGAGAGGCACATTATGTGACGTTTATCAACATTATATTGAGCTTTTCTCTTGTTGTTAAAGCTTGTTAATCATCTAGCAATTAGCAAGATGATTAGCAATATTTCAAAAATCAAGTCTGCACATCTTGAATTTCCCTCGGGATAAATAAAGTATCTATCTACATTGGCGCCACAAGCTAACGTTAGCTAACCTTCAGCATTAGCCAGTCGCTTCTGTGACTTCAGCCTGGTGAGACACTGCCATGTTTTCCAAACTGAGGGGTAAATAATAATAGGTGTTTTTTTTTTTCGTTTTTGGCCATTTCCTAGCAGTGGGTTAACTTACATGTTAAAATGTCTGTTCACATTATAGGACCTGCAGTCACAGGTCAGGTTGGAGTTAGCTAACGCTAGTTAGCTAATTGGGCGTTTGTGAAATATGAAATCAATTCAACCTTTGAAAAACCTCACAAGTTATTTAACAACACTTACCGCAGTTTTGAAGACAGATTCCAGACTCTCTTTTATGCAGCCGAACAAAAATATTGTGCCTGCTGCACAATAAATAATAGTTTTTAACCATTAACAGTATGGTTTTAACTCCTTCACCTTCAAATGGACCAGCACCCTGAAGTGAGAGGGTCAGGAACATAACAACATACCGGTATATCAAAGGGGAAACAGGGAAACCATTTATGTTTGTGTCTGTCTATCTGGTATAAAACAAATATATAACTCTGCTTACATAGTTCGAAGTAGGACTTTATTATTAGTAGTAAGTTTCCACTGTAAGCTGAGTGGCTACAGTAGAATCCAGCTAGCTATCAAACATTGTGCCCTGCATGTACTCATGAGCAATTCTTCCTTCAGTATGTTGCTACCATTGACACATGCACAGTATGGCATTTAAGTGAAACATTTATTTCTCTAGAAGGCAAACTTTGATTTAATGGGTGCTTAGGCATATCTCCTACAGTGAATCACGGGTAAAGAATACACAATGATGTTAAATGAGCAAGGTACCAAAATAATGAACAGTAGAGAGCAGACAACCTCAACAGCTTTGGCACAACTGCAGTTAGTCTCAATGCTTAAGCTTTATTGCACAATTGCACCTCTAGGGGGAGGACAGGTACAGGGGATGTGAACACTTTTGAATGCAGGTCCAAAAGTAATTGTGGAATGGTTAGTTGGTTGAGCCACTTTGCTCAATTACTCAGGTCATGTGTGCCGTTTACACCTGCCACCAGCCAGTTTTATCCAGTGTTCACACACACACTGACTTTAGTGACTCGAGTGAAACCAGAAAGTGGAATCACTGATATTCATGATAAGGTATGCTGTGAGCTCTTTCTGAATACTGCTGCTTGTAAATCTGATACGTAGCCTCTAAAATGGCTTTTCACATTCAGCCCCCAAAAAAGGATTAAGTATGTGTAACGCAAAGATGTTGCAGCTGTAATAAAAAAGAAACACCACAGGCACGTCACATTTTTGTACGCTTTGTTCATACGTTAAGTTTTTCAGCAACAATTGTTTTTGACATTGATACAGTGCAAATGCACGATAGCACAACAGACACAATTAAGGATACATACTATTTTTTAAAGTCAATACAGCAGATTTTAACAATTTGCATGTTTGATTTTTTTTTTTTTTTTCTAAACATAAATATGTTTGTCCTCCATTTAAGCCTTCAGTGTCCAACATACAGGTTTTCTTCACTGGTAGGGACCCTTCAACACAGAGAAGCGTTTGGAAATCAATGGCAAGTCATTTTCCATGTGTGGTCGGCAACTTCTGCAGGTTCAGTGGTGAAGCAGGGCACTGTCAGCATCTGTTTCCCCATCGTGCCCAGGAGCAGTGTGATCATCTGAGTCAGTCAGTCCAATCAGCTTCATTCGTATTTTTTCAGCTTTTACGGCCAAACTGGATGAATTGTAGCCATACTGTAAACTGGTGCTGATGTTAAACATGTCTACTTTGTCTTGATATGCATATTATATTAAGAAAGAGATAACCTAAGACCTGAGAAAATATCGCATTTAGCAATGTAAGACACAGAAGATACAGTGCCGTTCACCCCATCAGTTCACATCAACCACCACCGCTCAGCAGCTTCACACACACTCACCAGTGTCTCAAACTTTTCCTTTGACGGATCAAAACAAAACAACAAACACTGACGACAGACGGACAAAAACATACTCAGATGGCTTAAGTTGACGCCGACTCCATCCATCTTCATATGTACAGATTAATTTTTTTTTTTAATATCAAGTAAACAAATGCTTGTGGCAGATGTATTTGTTTTAATCTGGTGTTTTTGTCCTTTTGTTATATTCTAGGTTTTAAAAACTATCCATGGTGGATTCAAAAGGGGCTTTTACACTTCAGGCGGACAACTTGTGATGGCTTCTGATCATGGCGGGGCTGCTTCCTCAGCATCCCTCAGTGGAGATGTCACCTCCACTGAGGCTTTTTAGATCTGCACATTAATAGTAATGCTCAAGCACAAACACCGGCCATCCTCTTGAACCCACCATTGCCACCATCCCACCCCACTCCCACTTCCCCAGCCACCATGCCACCTCTCCATCATCCCTCATTCACTCCAACAATCCATACCCAACCCTAACTGATTCCCTCAAGTCACTGGTCCCTGCTCTCCATTTCCAACTCCCTTTTTCTTTATTATCTCCCTTCTTCCCATACTTATGGCATGTTTTTACTCGCTCTTCTTGGTGACAGCAGTGCCGGATAATTTGGACTTGCTAAAGTAGGCCTCGATGAAGAACTGGACAAAGAGCACAAAGTAGCTGAGGTACATGAGGGAGGACCACACAATGTTCTGCATGTGTGATGGACACTCCTGGCCCTGCTGCATCCACGAGTACACCAAATAGTTGACCACACAGCCCATCAGCATCTGGGTGATCTGGGTCAGCGTGATGAACATGGCGAACTTGCGCGACAGCTTGAATCCGGCCGCCCGCAAGGCGTAGTAAGAGTACATGACAGCGTGGACCAAGTAGTTCATGGTCATGAACCATCCGCCACCGGCCACCATGTCTTTGTAGGAGTACCAGGAGTAGAGCAGCACAGTGATGTGGTGGTACCAGTGGAGGAAGATGAGCTTTTGTTTCCTCAGGACGATGAAGAGAGTGTCACCTGCAAGTATGATAGAGAAAGTTGGATTGTTCAAGAGATGTGGGAAGTTAGTGGGGAGCATGGGGGAGGAGGGGAGTAAAGAAAAGAGGGGTGAATGAAGGGGCAGTAACAGGACGAAAGGGAATATCATTACCATTGGCCCTTTTAAAATAACTGGCTGTTATTCAAGTTGCTCTCAAATATAGAGACAATATTGGCTTAATGAACTATGTAAAACCACAAAGCTGTTGGCACACACAGAGTAGTGCTTAATGTTTTTAACAACTTCACTGGCTGCCCAATAAATAATCAGAAACACAAGTGACAGTGACAGCTGTATTTACTGCATTACACATTATAAGGCTAACAACGGTTTTAAAATACACCAGCACAGTTACTGGAAATGCAGACAAAGAGATAACAAGCGATTTTAGAAAAATGAAAAGAAAAATGTTACTACAACGAAAATTAGAAATAATATTTCTGATTAAACTACAAAACTACTTCTTTACTCTATCACCATTATGCCAAGTAACTATGAGCTCATGCTTTCCTTTTCAAATGTATGTACAGTAGTAAATATACACTCCTTTGAGAGGGCCTTCAACTACATTTGTCTAAGTGCCAGAATTTTTCCTAAGCAGACAGTGTGGGGGCCAGAATTTAAAATAAATAAATAATTATTGTTTATATTTTCACTTTCTCACAAAATGTATGTTCTTTTTATTTGCCTCTATCAGTGTGAACAGACTCCTAAAAAATTACTGGAAATTACTAGAAAACGCTCTCAGACCATGGAGACAGCTCATTGAGGAGTGATGGTTGTAATTCCAGAAACATAACTGCAGAATGCTACATACAACTGTACAGGTCACACAATACTGGGGGCAGCAAAAAACAGTGAAACTGGAAGCTTTGGCAGGCCAAGTTGGAGCTGCTATACTGTGCTGTTTTTTTTAATACATCAAATCATAACCCCTGTGTACTGATATGTAACGTATTGTGACTACACAGCCGTATTTGTAATTGTAGCTGCCTAAAGTGTGCGTGTTATCATGACACTTATAATGAATAGAGAGCTTAATTATTGTACCTGCAGTTTATTAAAATGCCTTTGCCTTTTGGCTGTATTAAGCAACATCAGTAAAGACCACAAACTTCATGCAGAACATTACAACAGTGAACTGAATCCAAAACAAAACCTGACTGGGTGGTTTATAGAAAAACAATATATAATTCTCAGTACATGGACAATATGAAACACGCCATAAGAAGGTCTTGACTTACCCAGTTCTGGTGCTTTACTAAGTACAAAGGCGTATGCCCAGAACTTGCTGACAGGCCCGTTGTAAAAGCTCTGGTCACAAACTGACTGTTTAAGCCCTTTCGTCATCAGAATGTACGTCATGTAACTCCCAGTACGGATGGCACCAAATATACTACAAGGAGACAAAACAGACATACGAAATCATAAGAAAGTGGGAAAATGTGTGTGTGGTTGTTTCATTACTGTAGTTCATATGTCAAGTCCATCTGCGTCTGTATCAGCTGCAGTTTTGATAATGTGTTCAAATATGCTACACTTTTTACATATTAGAGACAAATCATCGATTTTTCCCCTCACAGAATCCACATTTTGATTTGGTCTTATATAAACCATGACTCTTTTTTTGGTTTTGGTTTTTTGTTTAATCTTTTCTCCTCAAAACAATGAATTTAATGATACACATTATGTACTCGATGTGTAAAGAGGTTCCATGGTTCCATAACAATTATCTGCCTCCTTATGTTGCTGGTAGTGTCTGATGTGACAGATGCACTCTGCAGTTTGGATACAAAAAGGTATACTAGACAGACAAGATACATAATAAACAGATTTCAAAATAATTACACATGCCTTTATACCAACATGATACCAAAAATATTACAAAATAACAGTATTACAAAATAACAGTAATAAAAGTTATGGCCCGCACTGACCAACTGTTCAAACTAGGAAAACCACAGGAAGATACAGGATACGACTGAGTTACGTAAATTAGAAGTAAATGTGGACAAATGAAGGTCCAAATGCCACCACAATCATGACATGACACAGATAATCAGCTGTCTGTCTATGAGCCACTTGATGACCTGGAGAAAACATTTTGTCAAAAGTAAAGGAGAAATGTTTGTGAACGGCATGAAGTGTTGTTAATCACACGTCATGTAATTAGGCCACTAACTGATTAAACTGCTGACCCCTTTATATTAATTAATTTGGGTTACACTTCACGTTTGCAAATGTTATATTTATTTGCTGCCATTAATAACGTTAGCGCTTTCTCACCTGAAAACAGCAAGCGTGAGAGACCATAGCACCAGCGGTTTCCTCAGCTCAAACTTCTCCCTCTGTTTCATGACATGGCGGCCCCCGAGGATAAAGGCAGCGTAGAGTGCGGCGAAGAGAAAGGACTTCTTCCTGTAAACACAGAAAACAAAGAGATTAATATGAACCCTTTTTTGACTTTTGGTTGCCTTTATCGACACAGGATAACATGCCGATTATGTTTTTCGAATGGGGGCGTTTTGACAGTAGTGGGTGTCACTTCAAACCCACAATTCTAGGTTAGGAAAGAAATGTATGCAACCAAACATCTGCTTCTCTGACTGCTCCTCTTCTAGCAGCACCACTATAGTAAGCACAACATACTGTTTACAGCACACAAACAATAGCTGTACTGACTTCACAAGCAACGGCTAAAGTAATGATTTGAGTCCGGCTCTAACCGTTGTTAACTGCTTCGCTTTCAGTTTACAGTTGCCTGGTTGCAGGTGCCAATGAGCAAGGCATTCGACCTGCAGTGGCCTGTGTGTGAGACTGCATGGTGGTGCTGGAGAAAAGAAGCATGTACAGCAACACCCTTGGTGTAAAGAAATAAAAACACTCTCAGAGGACAGTGCACAGGCACCAGGAATGAGGCATTCTGGGAGCTCTGGGACAAATAGCTCTGGGGAAGATGAGTTGCATAAAACTAGCCCAAGGAGGTTCTAATTCAGTGATGTTGTTTCTGTGCTGCAGTTTAGGGGTTATACAAAGAGAACAACATGACGTGGAAATGAATCACTAAATTAAAATGCATTACTCAGTGGAAAGGATTGAAATGAATTATTAACTAAAGCCGTAAATGTGTAGTATTGTGTTATACAGAGGGCAAGTTAAGCCACAGCATAGGACCATCTATTCAAGGTCAATTGTCTTTGTAATATACTGTATAGCAGCACACTAGTATACTGGTCAAACGGTCTCTGCACAGCTCCCACTACCAACGCAAACATTTCTCACAGAACCGTGACATATGCAACCGGTGAGAAGCAATCTATCCTGTTCTCTTTCGCAGCCTCAGCAGAGCACAGTAACAACAGCACTTAGTTTTGCTGATCAGGTGTATAGCTGGGCAAGAAAAGAGAAATACGTGTGCGTTTTGCTTAGCCACCAAAAAAAAATCTTGAGAAATGTGGCTGTGTGATACACAGGGAGTGGAGAAAATCTAACAGCGAAACCTTTCATTATTGTGGAACCAATAGTGTTTCATTCTTGTCTGTGTCAGAAATATTAATTCAACCTGATGTTCAGACATGTCGAGTTGAATATCAATTAACTTGTTTCAACCAGTACCGCCTGAATATTAAAAAAATGTCAAGATACGCCTGATACCAATCCTGCAGACTGGCTTGGGGCATCACTGCTTCCCACCTGTATTTTTGAACACGTGAAGTATGAACTGTACATTATAAGATATGACATCACAATCACATAAAGTGCACTCCCTTTTTCTCCACCAAAGATGCTCCGATCAGAATGTGAAGCTTCAACTATTGCTGTCATAACAGTAAGCCATCAGGCAAGTCAATGAAGACAGGAACGAAAGGGCAATGACAGTCCGTCAGTCGTTTCAAATAATGGACTCCATTGTGTGTCAGTATTCAGAGTATTCAGAGAATGAAGGATGCCACCTTTCTCTTCTTGCAGGAAGCCCACAAACGGATTCAGGCCACCTCCACAGAACAAAGGACAAAGCAGTCCAATCAAAGTCAAAAGGAGCTGCTTTCACAGAATGACAACAGGGTTGGACTGCAGAATGACATCACTGTTTCTCAACTCCACGCGAAGGAGGGGGAGAACAAAGCAACACAGAATACACAGTGGCCTACATACTGTACTGAGGCTGGGAGGAATGAAGAGGAGCAACCATCTCAGCACTCCCCTTCAGCGTACAGCTGTCCGAGCTAGAAGGTCAAAGGTCAGGGTGATATATATCCTAAGCTGTGATACTGCCCTGTGCAGTGTACACATTACTATCTAATGATGTCCAGCACAGATACACGGCATTCATTTTACTTGTTGTAGTGTAGCAAGTACAAACCCCGTCTAATTCAACCAAGACTTTTTTGATATTCAATTCATCATTTTAAATACAGCTATGTAACGAAATTACGAAATGAAAAGTTTCATTCATAAGCAATACAACACCCACTCACTCGATTCAATACTCTCAGCAGTTTTGCTGCTGCCGCCTTGCTTGGTCCGGTGTGAGCAGCAGCTTATGGAGGCTAAAGTTAGCACTAACTTTAGATTGTATTATTCATTCAGGTTGCTTGTTTGCATTATGGTTACAATAGGTTTTAGCATTTAGAATCATCTAGTAATTGTCACTTGTGCCCAGAGCTGGCAGTGTTCAACCAAAAGTTCCATAATGTAGGCTCAGTGTAGCGATTAGCTTTGCAACAGGGAGTATAAAAACTCAACAGTAACCAGAATACACTGGCGGATTATATTTGGGTTACATAGTTCTGAATTGAATTTTCTATGTGATTCATTATAGCAAGTCCCAAATGCTGTAATTTTGTCTATAACATGATATCAGGACAAAGACTAGTGATATTGAAAACTACCCCAATGATTGTTGCAATGTATTGTATTATCCAGCCCACACACAAAGGTATTTGGAGGACAGCTTTGTTTCAAGTAGACTAAGCCAAAGGGTAAAATGAGCATGGCCTACTGCATTATGTTTAGAAGATGGATTACACTGCTGTCAGGAAAAAATAATAAAGGGCGAAGAAACCCAAGGGCATGGTCAAAGTTGACAAGTTGGTGGAGGTGGGGGAGGAGGTGCTGCTGGTGAAGTGCCAGCTGCAGCCAAGCCATGTCTGCAGTCACAGGACTCTATCTGAGACATCAGTGTGAATTCACATCATCCCTTCATGCTCCGCGCTGCCTCTACAGCTGCACTCCTGACCTTCACCCAAGGAATACTTTAAACAGGATTTTATAGCCGTTGCTACTTGAAACAAGCTGCACTTCTTACCAAATAAAAGACAACGTGCAAGTGATACAATTCTTCAACTTTCCGGGAGTCAAAAGTAATACCATCACTGCTTTGTCGAAATAACATGTCTGACTATCTGTGGTGGCACAATGGAGTTATTGATTCATACCAAGCATTCAACACATTGCTTCACCAGCTGCAGAGGTTTCTGGCTTTTATAAACCCACTTTCTGTCTGTTATTAACACTTGAGCTGCACTGTCACATCTCTTTTACTCTTGATGGTGGATCCTTGCTCAGATAACAATAGCTCCATGGTCCACTTTGTGAAAATGAACATTTTACAACAAGCGTATGTTACCAAGTTTGTATGATTTCTATAATTGCTGAATGGTCTGGCTCAGGTTGAACCCTTTGTCTGAATCAAGAGTTACAAATGACAGGTCACTGGGTCAGTCAATTGATTAGTCGATCAACAGAAAATAAATCAGCAACTATTTTGATAATCCATTCATTTCTAGTCATAATTTTAAACGGATAACATGATGATCGTTCCAGTAATTTTTAAGGGCAAACTTGACAAACATTCTCTGGTTCCAGCTTCTCCAATGTGAGGATTATTGTAAAGTGAATACATCTGGGTGATTAACTTAGAAAATGATCGGTAGATTAATCAATGAAAATAATCATTGCAGCTCAATGGGTAACAAAATGCATTTTGGAATTAAAGGTCTCATGTGTGACATTTAAACAGATCTATTGCCAGAAATAGAATAGAATATTCATGGGTATCTTTCAACCACCTGAAAATAAGAATCGTTTTTGTTACCTTAGAATGAGCTGTTGTTATCTACAGGCGCTGTGGGCCGCCTTCCATGGAGGCCACCATGTTGAAGTGCCATGTTTCTACAGTAGCCCGGAAGGGATAAACCAAACACTGGCTTTGTGCATTACATGGCCACCATAGTTTCTCCCTCACAGTTGGAAAGAGAGGGTGAAACGAATGAGTTGTAATCTGCAACTACATAGTTGCAATTATAATGTTTGTTTTCTTTTTTACTTACTGAAGGTGTCTGAAGCATGATCTGTATACACTCTGCTCCTGTAGTTCCTATGTCTGTGTCTGGGATTTACAGTGTGTTTTGGGGTTACACTGGAGGCTCGAGTGAGTGTCAGGGGCCCAATACAAATCTGAGACCGGACCATTTCTACTCCCATCTTCTTTCAGTTCAGTTTGCAAATAATGCCAACTAACTAACACTTCTGCTCCTGGCTTATGTCTAGATGGGACAATATATTAGAGGTGTGGCAAGAGGCTTGACTCTGCTGTTTGTCAAAGTGGGCCAAGGCAGCACAAATGGAAAACTACAACGTCAGAGCTCTTTTGGGGAGGATCAGCATGGCGTATTAACAGAATCAGCAGAGATTGCTTGCTTGCTACAAGGTTGGAAAACCAGCGGCTTTCCTCTAGCTGAGATTTCCTCCAAATAACAGTAAGGAGCAGGGCTTCATTTAAAAATAAAATATACTATACTATTTATAATATATATATAGTCTACTGCATGTAACATTTGCACATTCAAAAGTCTATAACACACTAGACCTCATGTTATATATTTTGTTGAGTTGTGTACTTACATTTCCCAAATGTTTCAACAATTGTTCAAACCCAGGAGGCAATCTAGAGATTTTATTCAGTTAACAGTGCATTTCACCTGCTGTCAGTGGCATCTACCCCTTGAGCACGCAACAGTGTTACGGTTGTCTGGCCAGACGACTAAGATCATAAAGGGACTTTTATCCAGTTTTAAACCACATTTTACCCTACACTTTTTACACCTTGTCATTTTCTACTATAATAACTTTAACCAGATAGAGTTTTAATCATCTGACCTCTGCGAATCTTAAGTTCATCAGAGAAACAAGCTGGAGTACCGTTAGCAGAACCTCAACTCCACGCCTTTGTCTGCCTAACAGTGTTTTGGAAAACACAGATTCTTAAGGTGGAACTGCTTCATTCAGTGTTTTTCACTGTTTTGAATCAGTGGGTCGATTTGTTTAAAAGAGGAGGAGACCTCTGTGAATAATTCGGCTCCTGGTAAATACTTCCGTCATCAAACTTTGTCTTCAAGACTTTAGCGGTAGAAATT